ATAGAAACCTGCCTTCATTTAGTGGAGGAAAATAGACAAAAAACAGAGGAAATAATGCGATTGGTTATTTGAGCATGAGGAATGTTCAGAAGAAGGACAAAAATGAACTGGGGCAGGAGATAAAGGCTACTAAGTTTGTGGGAGAAGAATAGGGAAAACATCTCAGTTTATTTTAAATAGTGTTGTTTGGAAACTCACTGAGAAAGTGATATTAGAGCAAAGACTTGAAGGAGGGTTAGGAGTGAGCCACATGTGTGATGGGGGAAGAGTGTGCCAGGCAGAGGATGCAGTGGGTACAGGGGTCCTATGGTGGGAAGTATCTGCTACGTTTCAAGCCAGGCTGATGGTAACTTTAGAACACACAGGCACAGGGCTGTATGCATGCCAGACGCTGCTTTATATCCATTATCTCATTTAATCCTCCATGTTTCCCTAGTCCCCATTTCTAAAGGAAGAGACTCAGGCACAGACAGTTTAGATAACTTTCCCTAGATTACCTAGCTGGAAAGTGGTGGAACCCAGGAAGTCTGGCTCTAGCGTCTCTGTGCTCAGCCACACTGTTCTGCTGCCTGATATTTAAGCATATATTTGCAGATATGAGGGCGCTGCTTATCACATTGTACTGTGCCACTTTGCTTTCAGGATAAAATATTTTCCTGATCTTAATAGTGGCATTAGTTATGCTGGTCTTGAGCCACTGGTTTATTTCAATTTAATGAACACTGTGATCTGTGACAATTGCTGGTCATGATTTTATGTTAGCCATTGAATATTTAAAGGTCCATTCTTTTTTTTTTTCTTTCTTCATGTTGTATTTTTTTCTACCATAATAAACTACCTTAAATCCTTTTAGTTTTTTTATGACTTTTTAAATTTTTATTTTAGAGAGTGTGTGCGCAATCAGGGGAGGAGCAAATGGAGAGAGTATCTCAAGCAGGCTCCACACTGAGCATGGAGCCCAACACGGGGCTTGATCCCATGACCCTGGGATTATGACCTGAGCCGAGATTAAGACTTGGACACTCAACTGACTGAGCCACCCAGGCCCCCCTTATATCCTTTTAGATATAGGGAATGGTGAATGAATAGAAATACATTTATTTTATTATTTAAAAAATTTTTTTTTTATTTTTAGAATTTTTTAAATGTTTATTTTTGAGAGAGAGACACACATTGTGAGCAGGGGATGGTCAGAGAGAGAGGGAGACACAGAATCTGAAGCAGGCTCCAGGCTCTGAGCTGTCAGCACAGAACCCAATGCAGGGTTTGAACCCACAAACAGTGAAATCAGACCTGAGCTGAAGTCGGATGCTTAACCAACTGAGCCACCCAGGCGCCCCTAGAAATACACTTTAAAAGAAGGCTCAAGGTACTAAGCACTTTGGTACTGAGAAGCACCCTGGGAAAAGCCACCTTCCAGCTTGGCCTTGCAAAACTGGGATTCCCATTTCTCCATTCTCCCAGCCATGGCGTTTCTCCCAGTGCTCACTCAGGGTTCCCTCTGGAGCTGACAGAAGAGTAAAGATGCAGACTTCTCTCTGAAACCACAGCCCTGATGAATGCAGTCTATGTGGCAATTAGAAGCAGGGACTGAGATCAGACAACCAGTTCATACCCTGACCACCACCTGTCTGGTATCTGGGTCCTTAGCATCTTCACCTGTAAAATGTAGATCAAAATTAGTGTGTACCTCTTAGAGTTGTGAGGATTTAAATAGGATAATGTTCACATGTAAAGTGCATAGTACAGGGCTGATGCAAATAAACTCTATGGAAATCTTAGCTGTTATTACTATTAGTGACTCCCTTGAAAACAAAACACCACTGGGCTTGGTTGACATCTGTCTCCATTTTATCCTGTCAAATGCCCCGTGGGGCCTCTCTGTGGTACTGGCTCCTCACATCTTGGATCCCAAAATGAATATGGCCTGTTGGAAACCAAAACAAATATGAATAGTGAATGAAACTAAAAAGCACAGTCAGATTCCAGCTTACTAAAAGCCTCAGCCATACTAAAGATACGGCTTTGGTGGTACCTGTGTCGCTCAGTCGGTTAAGTGTCCATCTTTGGCTCAGGTCATGACCTTATGGTTCATGGGTTCGGGCCCCATGTCAGGCTCTGTGCTGACAGCTCAGCACAGAGAATCTGCTTCAGATTCTGTGTCTCCCTCGCTCTCTGCCCCTCCCCAACTCATGCGTGTGTGCTCTCTCTCTCTCAAGAATAAATACACATTAAAAAAAAATTAAAAAAAAATTAAAAAAAAAATAGGGCTTTGAAGAGATGCCAGAGAAGAGAGCACAAGGAGGAGAGGTACTGTGTCATAAGTACCGCTGCTTTGTAAGCCGGTCGTTCTCCCCCAAACCCCTTTCAATTGTTCAAGAAAAGTCAAGGCTTGTCACAAAATTGGCTTTGACTTTTTTAGGATTACTTCAAGTTCTGCAAGAAGAAAGTGATTCTACGAAAGAGGCTTAGAAAGTCCAATTAAATATTTCATTAATTGTGTTAGAATAAAAGAAAGACTTTTTCAAACAGCCCTACATGCTGTTTGTGGAGTGATGTGGTGCTGTGGGAAGAACATATGCATGGGGCCTGACTCCCAGCTGTGCAGTCGCAGGCTTTAAGAACTTCAGTCAAGGCCATAGGGTCCTCATCTGAAAATGGAGCTATTATCTACCACACGAGGCTGTTGACAGGATTACGTGGTATGGCTGTAGGAAATCTGGCAGGTAACAGACTTTCCAAGATGTTAGTCTCATTTTTTCTGAAGCCTTTTCTTCATTATTTTACTTTGTGCCACATCATTAGAACTGCTTAATTAGGGGCGCCTGGGTGGCGCGGTCGGTTAAGCGTCCGACTTCAGCCAGGTCACGATCTCGCGCTCCGTGAGTTCGAGCCCCGCGTCAGGCTCTGGGCTGATGGCTCGGAGCCTGGAGCCTGTTTCCGATTCTGTGTCTCCCTCTCTCTCTGCCCCTCCTCCGTTCATGCTCTGTCTCTCTCTGTCCCAAAAATAATAAACGTTAAAAAAAAAAAATTAAAAAAAAAAAAAAGAACTGCTTAATTAGTCAGCATTTTTACATCAAGTTTGTGGATTATCAAAGCCCTTTGCTAATAGGTCTGTCTCTTGCTGACTGTAAAAATTACAATGTAACTGCCTGTTGGCTTGTCAGTTATGCGAACTAGATGATTCAACCTCAATATTGCCAAATGCCTCAGTAGAATGATTTTATGAAAAACTTTGAAACTATAGTTAATGGAAATTTATTTTTTTTAATCTATGGACAGATTTTGCAAGTTGATAGTTTTCTTAATTTTAAGAGTTATTTTTTTCTGATGCTGCAGTGATCACAAAAATATGAAGATAAAATAAAATCACTCATAATTATTTTGCCTAGGAAAAAACACTACTAACTTTTAATTTTTTCCTTTTTTAAAAGTGTTATTTACACATGAGAGAGCTCATGTGTGCCTAGAAAAAAACACTACTAACTTTTAATTTTTTTCCTTTTTTAAAAGTGTTTATTTACACATGAGAGAGCTCATGTGTGTGATTGGGGGAGAGGCAAGGAGAGAGGGGGAGAGAGAATTCCAAACAGGCTCTGCACTGTCAGCATAGAGCCTGACGCAGGGCTTAATCTCACAAACTCATGAGATCACAACCTGACCCGAAATCAAGAGTCGGATGCTCAACCGGCTGAGCCATCCAGGCACCCCTTAATTTGTTTCCTTTTTATATGCATAGTTCTTTATATGACTTTTTCCCACCTAAAAGTATATCATAAGTCTTTCCTGCATTGCTAACATTTAAATTACTTCCATAATGGATATACTGTGATCTTCATAATTATTTTCCTAATTAAAATATTAAAATGCTCCAAAACTACTCTGCAAGAAATGTTTTGGAATGTAAGCCTTTGTCTGCATTCCTGATTAGTACCTGACGATAAATTTCTAGAAGTAAAATTATTGGGTCAATCTTAAGCTATTTATTGCTATGTAACGTGTTCTCAAAACTTAAAACCCAGTCTCTTAAAACAATAGCAATCATTCATTTGCACACAATTTTGCCATCTGGGGACAGTTTGCCTCACCCCACATGATGTTACCTGGCTGGGTAGCTTGACTGGGGCTGGAGGATCTACTGCCTAGGAGACTGTCTCGAATGACTGACAAGTTGGTGCTGGCTGTTGGCTGGGGCCTTTGCCCTGACCTAGGTGGTCTTCTCCATTGGATTCCAAATGGGGGAGGTGGAAGCTGCCAGGCCACTTAAAGGCTGGGCATGGAACTGGCACAGGGTCTCTTCCAGCTTGCTCTCGTGGTCAGAGCAGTCCCAGGCCAGTTTCCAGAGAGTGGTTAGACCACATCTCTTTCTGAGGGGAGTGACAAAGAATTTTTGGTCATATTTAATCTATCATAGTCAAAGAACACATTGTCGAAGGATCTTTATACGCATCACCAAATCATTTCCAGAAAAGTTGTAATGGTATGCAGTTCCACCAGCAGTTCTTGAGAATGCCCATCATCACACTAAACAACATTAAATACTGAAATTTTAGGGGCACCTGGGTGGCTCAGTCAGTTAAGCGTCCGACTTCGACTCAGGTCATGATCTCGCAGTCCGTGAGTTCGAGCCCCGCATCGGGCTCTGGGCTGATGGCTCAGAGCCTGGAGGCTACTTCCGATTCTGTGTCTCCCTCTCTCTCTGCCCCTCCCCTGTTCATGCTCTGTCTCTGTCTCAAAAATAAATAAACATTAAAAAAATTAAAATAAGTAATATTGAAATTTAAAAAATCTCTACTTATTCAATATGTAAAATGTGAGATCTCATTGTTTTACTTTGAATTTAGGTGATTATTAGTGAACTTTGATATGTTTGATAAAACTATATATTTCTTTGGGAACTGCTCATTTTGTGGGCCATTTGCTTATGTGTTAAACATAAATTTATATAAGTCTATTTATTACTGACAATAATAAGGTATCATATTCATTATAAGTATTCCTTTCATTTCTCTTAATTAAAAATCAAAAACCTTTCCCTCTTAATTGAGAAAAAATTAGAGAAAACTATTTCCTATTAAATTAACATGATTCTACCAGATTGCATAAATCTTTCACCTTATGAAATTAATTTGATTTTCATGAGAGTCTGGCAGCAATGCATTGGTCTCAAAATAATGGCATATATTATAATAAAATATTTTTAATCAATGAAAGTTTTACCTAACATGTCAACAGAAATCTAAGAAATCATATCATTTATTAATTATCTTCATTTTGAAGGGACTAAACCAAAAAAGTTTAGATAACTTTATCAGAACAGAAATTGATGAGTAAATGTGTTTTCATCCCTTAATTTTCTCATTATCTTTTAGCAATCTCGTGGGCAAGCTCCTTACCCACCCTGAGTCTCTGTTTTTCTAACTGCAAAATGGGGTTATAATAATATGAGGCTCAGAGAAGATATTTGTGAGGGGCCTAGTACAGGCAAGGCCCGGCATGTTGTGGACACCATCATTCTTTGCTTATTCTGTTCTTTCTCATGAACCAAGAAAGACCTTCCTATTAGAATATCAGAGTCAGTTCTCTGAATGGCTTTCCAGGCCAGGGTTTGCGTTTTGGGAATGCTATCACATAGCTCACCCTCAGAGTCCATTCCTCACAGGTTGGTGTTTCCACAGAGTGTGTTTTGCCTGTGGTGCAAATCAGGCACCTGTTCCAAACAGCACAGCACTATTATCAGGGCGCAGTGAGGGCAAATGTCTGTGAGACACTATGATACAGTCCCTTGAGAATAACCCTTTGGGAGCTTCTCAGAGCAATCTGGTGTCCAGTCTTCACACTCTGAGGGTTCCATATTTGTATTATGACTAATAATAGTTTTTACCTGCATGGCGCTTGACAGTTTTCATAGGATTTCCACGTGTTTTGTCTCCTTTGATCTTCATAGCTATCCTAGGAGGCCTGCAGTTCAGGTCATATTATTTCCCTTTTATGCATGAGAAAGTCAAGGCTTGGAGGGGTTATGACTTGTCCAAAGTTACAAACCTAGCAAGTGCCAGGCCCAGTATCAAATGGCTCCTACAGGCCCCATCCAGAATTTTTCCATTGGATAGTGTGCTGCCTAATTCTCCACCACGGGCATTTTAGCAGGTGGCTCTGGGATGAGATATACGCGATGGATTTGTCTCCTTGTCTTCCATTACATGGATGGGAGAGTGTCATAGTCAATGTGGACTCTAGAGTCATTGTTGGATCTTGGCTCCATCTCTTGTTAATTATGTTGTTGCAAATTATTTAACCACTCTGGGCCTCAGTTTCTCCATATATAAATGAGAATAACACTGGTACCCAACTTATAGGAGTATTGGAGATTTAAATGAGACCATCTATGAAAAACACTAGCACAAAGCCTGACACCCAAATGAATGTTAACTAAAGCCCCTCTTCCTACTTGGTGTGATCAGAGAAAGTGAAAGCTTACCTTCCAACAAAATGTCTGCACAGCTGGCCTTTCACTATGCTTTGGACTTCAGGCATTGGTTTCAGGAGGGCTTTGTTGTAAAAGAACCATTTTTCATAGGCACCTGCCCTGCACTGCACCGGGCATCTTCAGCATCCTCAACCACGTTATCACAGTTAATCACATTGGGGACAGGTAGGTATTGATTATTTCCAAAAAATAAAAAAAATCACCCATTAACTCTTGTTAACATTTTGGTATATTCTTTGTCTGTCTTGTATAACCTTTAAGAAACTGGAGCTGAAGGTGAGCAGAATATGCCACCCCCCAAAATACCCTTTTGGCATATTGGTTATTTTGAATTAAAGTTACCTAAAAGATAGCTAGCTGGTACCAGAAGGGCATTCTGACCCTCCTCTGTCCCCCTGAAAGCCACATGGAAGTTACTTTTCCTGTACCCAAAGGATAGAAGGCACTCTTATCACTAGAGATAGGGAATTTAGGGCCAAGAAGGCTGTATTAGCAAAACTAGTTGTTTCTTCACTAATATAAAGCTGAAACCCCTTTTTCTTGTCGATTCTTCACAAATTTATCGTTTCCTTGTCTGAAAGGTATAAAAGTTTCCTGCTTTGGTCACCTCTTTGAGTCTCATGTTTTTTATGGGGCTCTCATATGAACAAAATTAATTTTTTTCTCCCGTTAATCTGTCTAATGTCAATTTAATTATTAGGCCAGCCAAAGCAGCAAGAAGGGAAGAAGGAAAAAGTTTTTTTACCCGTGTAGTTTCGGTGCCTAATGTGGAGCTCTCCACTGGCTGCAGCCGCTGAGAGGTCCCGGGACCTGTGACAGGAGCCAGCAGAAGGTAAGAATTCTTACCATGCCAATCTTCCAGTTCTTTGCCTGCAGAGTCTGGTAAGTGACCACTCGAGAGTGGTGAGAGTTCTTTCCTTTTTCTAAATTTAGATTAGCAGGAGAGAAAATTTGTGTGAACTAGTTCCTCGGGTATAGCAACTCTGGTAAAAGTTTGTTATGAGCACTCTTGTTTTTTATTGATCCTTTTTCTCCCAGAGATGGTCATTGTTTTCTTTTGTCTCTGTCTTTCATGTCATTTGTCACAACAAAGAAAACCATAGAGCAGAACACAGGCATGAGTCCTATAAGCCTGTTATTTGAGCCAGCATCACAGACTGGTGAGTTCACAGTTCTCACCAGACCAGCATCTGTTTAGACAAGCTTTGCTGGGGGTCACCAGATAAAGTTTTTCTTTCATCTTGTTCTATGTCCTCAGAGCTTGGCTTTATAACTAGTGAGACTATTCTGTTTGGTCACTGCCAGCCAGAAGATACACATACCAGCTTGCATTTGGTGGCCAGTTGAATATTAGGGTTCTGAGGCACTCAGTTACAAGCAGTACTTTCTTTGTCTGGCCATGCCAGTTCTTAGGGGAGTTTGTCATAAGAGCTTCCAGCCCATAAGGGGCCTTTATTGTCTGAACCTTTGCTGTCTTGTTAGTGCTGGAAAAGTCTCATTTTAGTAGCGCTTGTGTAAGTCTGTAGCTGGAGTCATCTCACGTTCTCATGGGAAACTGGAGACACCATTTTCATTACACCATTCTTACTGCTTGTGACTCCGAGTCTTTGCTTTTTTAAGCTAACTCTGGGGGTGAACTTTCTGGGTCTGATGAGTGCTGCATCTTTTGTACTCTCTTTTGGGACGCCTCTTATGTCTTGTGTGCCATAAAATTGTTACTGATTTGAGTGACTATTGAGATGGATATAAGAGCCTACTTGTCAATGATGGGTGCTTGGAATTGGAAAACTTCTGTATTTGAAAAAAGTTTTAGAGAGCTCTCGTTCCGAAAAATTGTCCTATTCGTACCTATTGTAATATCAAATTAAAAAGTGGACACAAAGAAGTATAATGGTTAGCCTTAGGGACTTCCTTAACAAGATGGAAGAACAGAAATTAGACTTAGGAAAAAGTTAAAATCCACATTCAACATAAATGCCCCTTCTTAAAATCTAGCTCTATTTCTTCAGCAAATTCCCTTAGCTCGCCAAACTCCTCCACCTTTCCCACAGAATCCCTTAAACACCTGGCTACCTGTTTTAACTTCTCTTCCCCTACAAGATTTATAGAGAACACTCCAGCCTAATCTTTAGGTCCAGGGCATACAGGTCTCTCATGTAAATGCTGAAAGCCAGGAAGTATATTTAGCAAAAGCAGCAGGAAGTAAATTTAGCAGACTTGTTTTGCTGTCCTTTCAAACTGCCCCTGCTTTCCAGGTCTCTATGATCAGGCTCTGCCAGGCTCAGGCCTTCCTATGCAATATCCTTTGCAGATGTATTTTGGAATCCTCCAGCCCCACCTGAAGAATTCATGTCCTCTGGACAGCAACTGATCTTTTAAACTATAAAGCCCTTTTACCTCCACTTTCAGAAGATACTACCCAATTGCGATAGAAATTAGATTAGTGGCCATTTACAACCTCACTCACAAGAGCCTTGATTAGCTGCAAAGGTGTTCTTTTCACCCTTGATTGTACTGTAGTTAACAGACAAGTCAGATGGACCCCTGGAGAAAACCCCTCTCAAAGAGGAAACACATGACCAGAATTTCTCTCAAGCCCTCCTATGAATGATCAGGAAATGGAGCAGCTGAAGGCTACTGTTCAGGGGCTGATAGAAGCAGTAGTTGAACTTTTCCCACTACGGGGAACTGGTCTAAGTTTGAATTGTATGTTGAGAAAGAAGGAGAGCATCCAAAGGCCTTTGTTGAGCACTTTATACAGATTTTTCAAAGGCATACTGCACTAAATTCTGAAGCTCTAGAACATAGAGATCTTTTAGTTTCTACCTTGGTAGGAAAATTCCTCCCTGATATCAAAAAGGCAAATTCAAAACAATGTGATTGGGTGGGCTAGTCAACCTCTAAGCATTATAATGGGAGAAGCTATCCAATTCTTTGAAGATAGCCATCAGGAAAGGAGAAAAAAAAGGAGTTGAAATTAACAATTCTTGATTTGCAATTTGGATATTTAGAGAAAAAAAGCATAACTCTGAGAACAACAAAGTCCACAGAGAGTCTTTCCTACTTGCCTCCAGACATTTTCAAATGTAAAAAATCAGGACCCTGGAAATGCAATTGTCCTGCACTTTAAAAAAAGAAATTTAGAGTCACCTGGGTGGCAAATATTGGGGTATCCTTGTCTATTATCTGAAATTTAAGGTAAATACTATTTAAGTAGGCTTCATGCCAAGCACAGAGTCCAACAGAGGGGTTGAACTCACAACCCTGAGATCAAGACCTGAGCTGAGATCAAGAATCAGACACTTAACTGACTGAGCCACCCAGGTGCCCCTAAGGTAAACACTACTTAAATTTCTCTCTCTTTTTTAAAATTAAAAAAATATATTTTTTAAAATTGTATTTATTTGAGCTCAAATTGAGCAACTGAGCATCTGTTGATTTCAGCTCAGGTCATGATCCCAGGGTCATGGGATGGAGCACCCCATTGGGCTCCATGCTGAACATGGAGTCTGCTTGAGATTTTCTCTCTCTCTCTCTCTCTCTCTCTCTCTCTCTTCCTCTGCCCCTTTCCCCAGCTTGTACTCTCTGTCTCAAATAAATAAAATGAAAAATGTATATTTTTTTTAATTTAAAAAAAGAGAGAAAAATTTAAGTAGTATTTACCTTAGGGGCACCTGGGTGGCTCAGTCAGTTAAGTGTCTGATTCTTGATCTCAGCTCAGGTCTTGATCTCAGGGTTGTGAGTTCAAGCCCTCTGTTGGACTCTGTGCTTGGCATGAAGTCGACTTAAATAGTATTTACCTTAAATTTCAGATAATAGGCAAGTATACCCCAAAATTCCTGAGATAAAACTTGCATTCTTTCTCTGTCCCTTGAAGATGTGAGTCTTACCATATCTTTGAAATGTAAACACCATAGGAGGTAACTAAAACACTGTCCATAATCACGTGAGACTGAAGGAAATAAAGTGTGTGTAGGAGGTTTTTAAAAATCCAATGTGCAATGAAATCTCCCTTGTTCAAACTCTAGTCTACAGCTTTCATAAGATTACTTGTCAAGGGCAAATACAAATCTTAAAAGTCTTCTCCACAAATAGTAAAAAAATTAGCCACATGAGTGGGTAAACTTACCTTATTCCAACTGCCAGAAATACAATTTGGATCCAACTGTTATTTGTAAACTAGTGAGTTTTGTATTATTGTACCTGATTCATGGCTAAAATTTTAGAATGAAAGCTCTAAGTTCTCAGTTTGTGTCTGCCCTGTGTGTTAATTTATGTATGTTTATCCACATGTTATAAATGTGTGATTGATGTTTCCTGTCTCCAAATGGTGTTACCAAAATTAATTTGTAGTAAAACCCTATTTAATTGGCTTAAAGAAAGATAAGCACTTATCAAATTAAATATTTCTAAACTCTCAGAAGTGTAATAGAAATCAACCCACGTACTCTCAATTTCATGTCATCTGGGGTAGCTTTGGTAAATAAAACCTAGTTTAAGTTAGTTGGTGTAATTAAAAAAATGAATGTCTTTAGAGTTATTGGCATTTAAAAACAGTTAATGGTACTGTATTTTAGGTTTACTAAAAGTCAAATAAGCTCATGTTATCCCTGTTACAAAATTTGTCAGCAAGAAAAATAAGTTAAGATGATGGCTAGCTGCTTTAAAGTCTTATGAAATTTTCAGTAATCTAAATATGATTATTAAGAATAAGTGAATTAAATAAATGTAAGGAAGATAAAAATGTTTAAGTGAACTTTCAATAATAATCATTAAAATTTTTTTAAATATTTATTTATTTTTGAGAGAGAGACAGAGTGTGAGTTGGGGAGGGGCAGAGAAAGAGGGAGACACAGAATCTGAAGCAGGCTATAGGCTCTTAGCTGTCTGCACAGAGCCTGATGCGGGGCTCAAATTCACGTACCGTGAGATCATGGCCTGAGCTGAAGTTGGATGTTTAATCGACTGAGCCACCCAGGCACCCCAACAGTAATCATTTTTTAATGATACGTCTATGTAAATTTTCTTAAATCTCTTTGGCAACTTAAACCCTCAGAGTTTTGCTAAGTTAAGTATAAATGATGGAAATTCATTGAATATCTAGGTCATTTCTAAGTAAGGTAAAATACAGAAACATTAATTATTGAACATAGGTTTATATACTTTTGGCTTCTTATTGCAGAGATACTAAACATATTTGGATCTACCAATAAACATGTCTTATTTCACATTAAAAAAATTGTACTTCAAGAAAACATATGCTTCTAGAGGTTATGAAATGCTTAATGGGTTTGACAATCTACAGAATACTGGTATAATAGTTCACAATTGCTTACTTAGTTTTCACTAAAAATAAATGTTTCTAACAGTTAAGAATTCTAATTAATATATAAAATAGTAAGGAAAAGAAAACTATGCAAGCAAAGAAAGATGTGTTTTGGCTAAGAAAAGGTATGAGACATGGAGATGTATTTTTGTTAAGGGAAAAAGTAGTATAATAGCTCGTTGCTTAAGAGGAAAAAGAAATAGAGAGAAGGAAAGACAATTTTTCCTGTATGGTCATGCTAGCTAAAATTGAATATATTTATTATAAGCGTTTTTTGAAATAAGGTCTAATATCAATAGTGTATCAATAGTGTACTTATGTAAAAAAACACTTAAATTTCTTTTGTCTGCTAACAGGACAGTTTTCTTGGACTATTGGTCTGCTTTTGATAAGATTGTAGAAGGTTTTTCTTTATCCTTTAAGAAATCTGCCTAGAAGGCAAAGATTTTGTGTTTTGTTTTAATTTCCTCACGTTATGTTCCCTTTATGAGGTCTTTGATTACTTAAAACAGAGTCTTCTCTATTAAAAGAACTAAATTTTTTTCTACTGTGTAACTTTCTGTATTTTCCTGCAAAGTCTTTAGTTGTTTTTAGTTGTCACTTTGGTTAAATGAATAACTTAATATTGTTCCACACTAACCTGTGATACTTTAATCAAATGTTTAAAACCTACTGATATTTTTGACAAACTTTTCCCAAATCAAATTCCTTTTTTTTTAAAGTTTATTTATTTATTTTGAGTGGCGTGGAGAGCAGGGGGGTTGAGAGGCAGAAAGAGAGGGAGAGAGAGAAAATCCCAAGCAGACTCTGCATCTGCAGTATGGAGCCTGACATGGGGCTCGAGCCTGGGCTCGAACACATAAACCTCAAGATCATGACCTGAACTGAAACCAAGAGTCAGATGCTTAACCCACTGAGGCACCCCTGCCCCAATCAAACTCTAAGTGAAGTCTTTTTGACCTTGAGCTTACTTTGGGATTTTGTAGAGGGTCCCTGGACCATCTTGAAAGATCTATTCTCTCTCCTTGTAAAGAAGAGAGTTGATAAACTAATTGGAATTATTTGATATGTTAAATTACATTGGAAGCATTATTAAATCAGAAGTGATGTTAAATCTTCTTTGTGTTGTATTTGTATGGATATAGATTATTATTATTTAAAGTTTATTTATTTTGAGAGAGAGAGGGAATGAGAGAGGGAACACATGGGAATGGGTGGGGAAAGAGCAGAGAGAGAAGGAGAGAGAGCATCCCAAGCAGGCTCTATGCTGTCAATGCGGAGCCGGGCATAGGGCTTCAACTCACTAACCATGAGATCCCAGACTTGAGCTGAAATCAAGAGTCCCAATGCTTAGCTGACTGAGTCACCCAGGTGCCCCTGTATGGATAGGTATTATTAATATATGTTCCAGAAATTGCAGGGGCGCCTGGGTGGTTCAGTCAGTTTAATGTTCCACTTCAGCCCAAGTCATGACCTCGCACTCCGTGAATTCGAGCCCCGCATCGGGCTCTGTGCTGACAGCTCAGAGCCTGGAGCCTGCTTCCGATTCTGTGTCTCCCATGTCTCCCTCTCTCTCTGTCCCTCCCTTGCCCATGCTCTATCTCTCAAAAATAAACATTAAAAATTTAAAAAACATATACATATATGTTCCAGAAATTGTATAAAATTTTTAAAAATATGGTAGGTAATGTTATTAGTCATAATTGCATTTATCATCTTAAAATGTTGTGTCATAGAAATAAATTACCTTGTTGATTGCATCATAAAAAATTCTCATCAGATCTTTTACTATGGCCTTTTAAAAGCCTTCTGTCTTTATAGACAGTTATTATTTTAGTCAGATGCTTTTGCAAAAGTGTTCCTGCAAAAATGCTTCATCTTCAAGGAGATTCACAGAAAGGACTCTAACAATTACAGGTTTCTGATTACTTTTAGATAATACCACTGAACTGGGTAAGAATTTATGGAACTCTTATGGAGAAACTAGAGGCTTCATAAAACTGCTAACAAAACATCAAGATCAACAAAATTAATTATATGGAAATGAATAAACTGATGAAGATGATTATAACTTTTTATGACTTTTGTTTGAAATATTGCTGGTTCTTTACTGTTTTGTTTTTCCAGATTTAAGGAAACCTTTTTCTCTTTTCTCCTAAGCTATCAGCAATTTGGTAAAGGATACCTTTGTGACAAAGATGAAACAATTACTTTTTCTCCTTACCTGATCCCTCCAGTATTTGAAAACTTTTAGTGAGTATTCTTATTTTCATGGCAATATAGTTATTTGCATAAGTTCAGTAAAAATCTATCTTCTCATAACATAATTGGAAATAGTGGTTATATTATTAAGGCTTTAACTGGCTTTTACATTTGAGAGAGATGTCCATAGACCGGGCAGCTTTAAAGAACTAAAAGCAGCTTTGGGGTGCCTGGGTGGCTCAATCGGTTAAGCGTCCAACTTTGGCTCAGGTCATGATCTCACAGGTTCATGGGTTCAAGCCCCATTTCAGGCTCTGTGTTGACAGCTCAGAACCTGAAGCCTGCTTTGGATTCTGTGCCTCCCTCTCTCTCCTCTCCTCCCCTATTTGCACTCTGTTTGTCTCTCTCTCTCAAAAATAAATTAAAAAAAAAAAAAAAAAAACAAAATACAAAAAAAGCAGCTTTAAGGAACTAATCACATTGTTCCTTAAAAATATGGTTAATGAATCATACTGACTTTATTGGGGTCAATAAAGCCCCCTTATCAAAAACAGCCTGATGCCTTACTTATAGGGTACCCAAAACCCTATGAGGCAAGTAAGGAAGGTCACTTCCTGGCAGGCCCAGGAACCTCAAAATATTTTGGGGACCTTGCAAAGAAAGGAATTCACCCAAATCTATAGATATTGCAGGTAAAAATCTGATTACAATTATTGGTTTGACTTTTTAGCCTTAAGAGGCTTTTAAAAATCCAATCTGAGATTTGTTATGAAAAGTTCCAGCAAAGCAGACTTTAAAAGAGTTTATATAGTTAATCACTAGTCTTATTGCACTTATGTAAATAATCAGGCCAAATTTATTAATACAAGACTTATTTGCAAGCAAATTCATCTTACTTTGATTATCTCTGAGAGAAATGGGGTTGTCTATAGAGAGAAAAATGATGTTTGATGGAAAACCGTAGTACAGCATTATAGATATCAGATTCTAGTCCTGTTAATTATCTTTGAGGTTTTTTTTGTCTACCAGTAAATTGGACTGGATACTGAACGTGTCTAATTTCCTCCCATTTGTAGCTACAACTCTCCAAACTAACATCTCCCATCCCTTTGACTTGTAATCGTTGAGAAACTGAAACTGCCCTTTCCCAAAGCCATGAGCGCTGAAGTTGGACAACTTGATATAAACTTCAGAGAAATCACCATAATAGTTCACATGTGGACAGTCTTCATGACTGCTGGCTGCTGTGTGATCACTCAGAAGGATCACCAGAGATATTCAAACAGCAAACCAGGAAAATTTGTCAGAGTGCCCCTGCCTGTCCTCACTCCATTGGAAGATGTTTTGAGCCTGACATCTAAAAATCTTCTTGACTAGCTGCCTTCAGAACTCAGACACTGCAATTATAGTCTGTTCCAATAATTAACTATTGTTTTTATTTTATTTCCATAGAAATGTATCCTATTAAATACTTGGTGCAGGTGCTCATACCATGTAAGCCTAACCTTGGGAGCCTACCTGCAACACCGCCTCCTGAAATGAGACACAACTGTTTAACTGAACTGACCTGTTTTCATAGACAAGAGACTTGTTCAATGAGATAAGGGAGAAATTTGCCAATCAGCTTCTGAATTGTGAAACTTCTTTGAAGTTTCAAAGATGGGGCAGAATATTGCCACCCCAAAATATGCCACTTTGGCATATTGATGATTTTGAACTAAAGTTACTTGAGAAACAGCCAGTATAAGAACGCTCTGACCCTCCTCTGTACTCCAAAAGTAGAAAATAAATCTATCATGTGAAAGGTATTCTCCCTGTACCAGAAAGGAAGAAGCATTTATCACTGGAGACAGGGGATTTAGAGTTGAGAAGACTGGATAAACAAAACATGTTACTTCTTCACTAATTTACTACCTCAAACCCAAACCCCTTTATCTTGTCAATTCTTCACAAATTTATCATTTCCTTGTCTGAAAGTTATAAAACTGCTTGCTTTGTTTCCTTCTTGGAATCTCATATTTTTTATAGGGCTCCTGTATGTATGAAATTAAAAATTTTTCCCTCCTATTAATCGATCTTATGCTGATTTAATTATTAGACCAACCAAAGCACGTAGAAGGGGAAAAGAGAAAATATTTCCACCCCTGCAGGTTCATATTGTATAAAGATTTTTTGTGGTGTGCTTTCTTTTCTTTTCTTTTCTTTTCTTTTCTTTTCTTTTCTTTTTATTTATTTATTTATTTATTTATTTTTTAATTTTTTTTTTCAACGTTTTATTTATTTTTGGGACAGAGAGAGACAGAGCATGAACGGGGGAGGGGCAGAGAGAGAGGGAGACACAGAATCGGAAACAGGCTCCAGGCTCTGAGCCATCAGCCCAGAGCCCGACGCGGGGCTCGAACTCACGGACCGCGAGATCGTGACCTGGCTGAAGTCGGACGCTTAACCGACTGCGCCACCCAGGCACCCCATCTTTTCTTTTCTTTTCTTTTTAAAGTTCATAGCAGCTTTATTTGTAATAGACAAAAACTGGAAAGAAACTATGTTTATCAATGGGTGATTGGTTACATTGATATATTCATACCATGGAATAATACTTAGCACTAAAAGTGAACAAACTATTAATAGATACAATAACTTGCATAGACCTCAAGGATATTATGTTGAATGAAAAAAGGCTTTCTAAAAAGGTCATGGACATCATGGTTCTATTGAAATAACATTCTTGAAGAAGATAAAATTATAGAAATTAAGAGTAGTTTACTGGATGCCAGGTGTCAAGAACAGAGGAGGGTAGGGAATATGCTATAAAATGGCAACACAAGGGATCAGTGTGGTGATACTATTCCATAGATATATATTTTTAAATTTTTTTTAAGTTTATTTATTTTTGACAGAGAGAGAGAGTGAGCATGAGCTAGGGAGGGGCAGAGAGAGAGGAAGACACAGAATCTGAAGCAGGCTCCAGGCTCCGAGCTGTCAGCACACAGCCTGACGTGGGGCTTGAACTCACGAAATGTGAGATCATGACCCAGGCCAAAGTTGGACGCTTAACTGACTGAGCTACCCAGGTGCCCCCATAGATATATATTTTTTAATTGAATTATGGTTGACACACAATATTACATGAGTTTTAGGTGTTGTGGGTTGCTTTCTTCACTTCATGTTTACATTTTTTTTCCATATCTTTGGTAATGCTAAAAAATACTCCTTTATGGTTGCATTGGGGATTCCATCTGTGAAGATGCTATTATTTAATACCAGTTTGGTATGTGGGACAGTTAGTTTTATTTTCCTGTTATAAATAACACTAGGATAAACATCCTTTTACACAAGTCTTTGAGATCTTATCTGATTATATCAATTAAATTACCTCATAAGTAAATTCCTTAAAATAAGTTCCTGGAAATGGAATACATTTTTAAAAATAAATTCCTAGAAGGGGCACCTGTTTGGCTCAGTTGGGTAAGTGTCGGACTTCAGCTCAGGTCATAATCTTGGGGTTCGTTGAGTTCAAGGCCCACATCGGGCTGTCTGCTGACAGCTCAGAGCCTGGAGCCTAGTTCAGATCCTCTAACTCCCTTTCTCTCCCCCTCCGCCAAGCAATCTCTCTCCCTGTCTCTCTCAAACATAAACATTTAAAAAATTCCTAGAAGAGAGATTGCTAAGTCAAAAGGAATGTGCATTTTGAGAAATATTGCTGACCTGCCCCCTAGAAAGTTGTGTCAATTTACTACTCCCACCAACAGTGTTTGTATCAGTGATCAAATCATTCAAAGCCTTCCACATTTTCTCCTAACAGACTTTTCTTTCCACCCTTTATTCCTAGTACATTCCTATATAAAGCCTTTGCTTCAGATCTACCCTCAGTTCTAGTTACATCGTTTTGCTCAGTGTCTCTCAAACATTCTCCACAGGTACCCTCTCTGGGCCTTTGCCATACCTTTTTAGAAATGTCTTCCTCCTCTTCTTTCATTTCTGAGTGATGTTTCCTTAATTCAAGTCCCAATTCAAGTCCCAATCTGCAAAGCCTTGCTTGATTGTCCAATTAGTAAACTAACTTTCTGTCTCTGAAGTTCCTCTACCTTTATTGTCTATGCCACTCATTTGTCATTTGTCACATGCTGTGATTTCTCTTTTTATGTTTGCCTGCATTGTTTCCTGAAGGACTTATACAGAACAAAATTATACTTAAAAATCCTTTATATTACCCATAGCACACACAAATTTAGCTTTGCATATGGAGCTGTGTGATGATACATATAATGTATGTAATAATGTATAGAATAAAAGTCCAATGAGGGATCGTAATGAATCCTCCCCTTTGTTCCAGTCACCAACAAAACACATGTATCCCTGTCAGGGCTGTCCCAGACTTCAAGAGGCTCAGACCTCAACTTCCTTGAGCTTAAACTTCCTTTGTACTATGTTTATCTAAACTAAAAATGATAGAGGCTCTTTTCCACATAGCAGTTAAGGAATAGCTGAATTCAATTTTAAATCATAAAATTATGACAAGAATAATCTGGCCAATGTCTAGAATCAGGAATCAAAATCAATTTGACAAAGAATATCTATCTATCTATCTATCTATCTATCTAGACATAGATATAGGTATAGATAGATATATAGATATAGGTATCAACAACAAACCTAAATATCAGTTTTTAAAAACATTTAACTTTGAATGGCATAGAAAGTCCAGATACTGTTAGTGATTAAAAACGATAGCTCTTTCATTTTACTCCTGAAATCATTATTATACTATATGTTGACTAACTTGGATTTAATGAAATTTAAATTAAAAAAAAAGATAGTTCTTTCAAGAAATACTGAGATCCAAAGTTTGTCAAAATCATATTATATAAATAATTGACTACATAATGCAAATATACCATAAGAAGCTGAAAATTCTATAATTTTATGTTGCATTTAGTTACATCAAGTGCTGGGGTGCCTGGGTGGCTGTCAGCTAAGCACCAGACTTTGGCTCAGGTCATGATCCCACATCTGTGGGTTCGAGCCCTGAATCAGGCTCTGTGCTGACAGCTCAGAGCCTGGAGCCTGCTTCGGTTTCTGTATCTCCCTCTCTCTCTGCTCCTCCCCCACTTGTGCTCTGTCTGTCTCTCTCTCAAAAATAAACATTAAAAACAACAAGTGCTTCTTCATCATAACTAGATCATTATAACTAGATCATCAAATGATCTAGTTAATAACATTTCTGGCAATCCTAGAAGATATGGTATATGAGAAGATAGTTAAAACGGACATTTGTAATCCTCTACAGTTTATAGAGCACAGTATATAGAGTCTATCATCCTGCTGGAGTAGCACGAACATACTCTTCAGTAGACATTGATTGTACAAATGAAGAATTGGAGACCTGGGGAGCCTGTCTGGGTGGCTCAGTTGGTTAAGTGACCGACTCTTGATTTCAGCTCAGGTCATGATCTCAAGGTTTGTGAGATCCAGCCCCAGGCTCTGCACAGACAGTATGGAGCCTGCTTGGGATTCTCTCTCTTTCCTTCTCTCTCTGCCCCTCCCCCACTGTTCTCTCTCTTTCTCTCTCTCCCTCTCTCTCAAAATAAATAAATAAACTTTAAAAAAACATAAAAGAATTGGAGACCCAAGGAGATTAAAGCTTGGCTAAAGCCACACAACCAGTAAGTGGTGTCCCTGAGTCTCACACCCAGCTCTGTCTGATTTCTCAGTCTAGTTCAGAGCTATGCTCTCAGATATAACTTGGACTTCTACTACATATTTAGGAGCAGGTTTTAGGTTTACAGGCCTCACCTTGGCCTCACCCTGGCCTCAGGATCTTTGCACTTACCATTCTCTCTGTCTGGACTGTTCATCCCACAGATAACCACTTGGCTTGTTCCCTCACCTCTTTCAGTTTTCTGCTCTGATGCCACTTTCTTCGTGAGTTCTTCCCTGATTATTTAAAATGCCAGTTACCGTCAACATCCACCCCCAACACACACTCAATAATTTCTTTGCCTTAAGAAAATAAAAGCAAAAATGAACTACCAGGACCTCATCAAGATAAAAACCTTCTGCACAGCAAAGGAAACAATCAACAAAACTAAAAGGCAACTGACAGAATGGGAGAAGATATTTGCAAATGACATATCAGATAAAGGGTTAGTATCCTGAATCTATAAAGAACTTACCAAACTCAACATCCAAAAAACAAATAATCCAATGAAGAAATAGGCAGAAGACATGAATAGACACTTTTCCAAAGAAGACATCCAGATGGCAAACAGACACATGAAAAGATGCTCATTATCAAGGAAATACAAATCAAAACCACACTGAGATACCACATCACGCCTGTCAGAGTGGCTAAAAGTAACAACTTAGGAAACAACAGATGTTGGTGAGGATGTGGAAGAAGGGGGACTGTTGGTGGGAATGCAAACTGGTGCAGCCACTCTGGAAAACAACGTGGAGATTCCTCAAAAAAATAAAAATGGATTTACCCTACAGCCCAGCAATAGCACTACTGGGAATTTATCCAAAGGATACAAGAGTGTTGATTCGTAGGGGCACCTGCACCCCAATGTTTATAGCAGTGCTAGCAATGATAGCCAAATTATGGAAAGAGTCCAAATGTCCATCAACTGATGTATGGATAAAGAAGATGTAGTATATATATGCAATGGAATACTGCTCGGTAATGAAAAATAATGAAATCTTACCATTTGCAATAACATGGATGGTACTGGAGGATATTATGCTAAGTGAAATAAGTCAGTCAGAGAAAGACAGATGTCATATGATTTCACTCATATATGGAATTTGAGAAATTTAACAGAAGACCATGGGGGAAGGGAAGGAAAAATAAGTTACAGACAGGGAGGCAAACCATAAGAGACTCTTAAACACAGAAAAAAAACCTGAGGGTTGATAAGGGTGGGGGTTAAGGGGGTAGGGGAGGTGAGTGATGGGCATTGAGGAGGGCGCTTGTAGGGATGAGCACCGGGTGTTGTATGTAAGTGATGAATCATGGGAATCTATTCCTGAAGCCAAGAATACACTGTATGTTAGCTAACCTGACAATAAGTTAAAAAATAAATAAATAAATATGAAAATAACAAAAAATAAAAAAATAAAAATAATTTCTTTGCCTTTTTCTTGCTTTATTTTCCTCCAACCACTTATCACGTCTGATACATTATATATTTGCTAACACTTGCTTGTTAGCTCCACAAGAACAGGAATAA